AAAGGATCCTCTCCCGGCGTTAGCAGGTGTCTTAGCAAATGCTGTGCAAACCCCAGGTCGTCTTTCACATTTTTAGTTAAAAAAATTTTTATTGTGGAGCCCTGAAAGACTCAGAAGAGTTGCCCAGGAGAGGAAAGACTAGAAAATGCAGTAGCACCCCTCCTGGTTTTGTTCTTGGAAGCTCTTGGTCTTTTCCTTGGTGTGGCATTTGATGGCTGTCACGATGGACCCAACCTGGTCAACTGGCCTTATGTCCCCTCCTCCTGCCATCCTGAGGAGCCTCCTGCATCCCGCCGGGCTCCTCCTTGCCTTTGCGTGGTGCACGCGTCCCCCTCTGTCTGGCAGGCGCCCCCCTCCTCCTGCACCTGGGAGACTCCCACTCATGCTTCGTGCCCAGCTGAAATGCTCCACCCTCTAAAGTCTCCACTGGTCGCCCTGGAATCAGGTGGCTGCTGCCTCTCGACAGCCACCTTCTTGTGCATTACACACCTGTGGCACTTGTCCCTGGGATGGGGATGGCTTGTGGGTGCGAGCTCTTCCAGTGCAGGAACGATGCTTTGTCCCAGAGCCCAGCCCAGTGCCTGGCGCACAGTAGACGCTCGGTCCACCTGGCTCGGTGATGAGTCACCGTGTCACAGGGAACAGGACCGGCCCTTCCACCCAATCCCCCCAGTGCCAGGAGGCTGAGAGGGCGCAGGGCTGGGGCAGCCTTGGGATTCCCCCTGCTCCTGCCACATCTGATGTACAAAAGGCAGCAAATCCTGACCCCGCGTGGGCAGCAGCCCAGCGCCGTCCAATGGGAATATAATGGAAGCCGTGTGTGATGCTAGGTTTTCTAGTAGCCACATTTAAAAAGCCTCTAAAAAGGTAAAATCGGCCAGGCATGGTGGCTCACGCCTGTAATCCTAGCACTCTGGGAGGCGGAAGCGGGCGGATTGCTCAAGGTCAGGAGTTCAAAATCCAGCCTGAGCAAGAGCGAGACCCCCATCTCTACTATAAATAGAAAGAAATTAATGGCCAACTAATATACATAGAAAAAACTAGCCGGGCATGGTGGCGGATGCCTGTAGTCCCAGCTACTCATGGAGCTGGAGGCAGAAGGATCACGTTGAGCCCAAGAGTTTGAGGTTGCTGTGAGCTAGGCTGATGCCACGGCACTCACTCTAGCCTGGGCAACAAAGAGAGATTCTGTCTCAAAAAAAAAAAAAATTCACATAAAAAAATATAAAAATAAATAAAAAGGTAAAATTAATTTTCGTTGTATATTTGAGTTAACCCAACACACTCAAAATAATATCATTTCAATGATAATGGAGCTATTACAATTTTTTTTTAATAATAAGTCTTCAAACCCTAGTGTGCATCGGCACTTAGAGCACATCACGACGCAGACTGGCCACGTTTTCCGGTGCTCAGGAGCCACACGTGGCTTGTGGCCGCCACGTTGGGCTGGATATGCCTGTTCCCAATTCCTTCCGTGGCTACCCCAGGTCTCCGCTGTGGTCTCTGTCGTCCTTCTCCTCCCACCCCTCCGGCCAGGTCTCCATTTCGAGTATCAGCAGAGGCAGTGGCGACAGAACACGCCCAGAGCCGGGCTGAAAGAGCAATGGCCGCGTGGCCGTGAGCTCCTTCTGTGATCACAGAATGCGGGCGCTTCCCACGTGTGAGCCCCCGGTCACCGGCAGTGCTCCCGGCTCACGCTGTCACTCCTGCCTCCCTCCTGCCTCTCACCGGCCGCCTTCCTGCCCAGGGCCCTTGTTTTTCCTCTTTGTGGTCAGGACGATGTCCTAAAATAAGTCTTTAAAGTGGAGGTTCCGCCCCTCTTCCTGCTTGGTGAGCAGGGTATGATTAGAGTTGGACTTCCCCTTCCCACACCGGCTCTGCAGGATCAATTTAATTGCTGTCCAGCTTATGTTTGGGACACTGATGTCGTGTGACGGGACACAGTGATGCTGGGGGCGTCTGTGTACCAGATCGGAGAGACGCCGCCGGCTCTCTGCCGCGCGGCTAACACAGTCTACCCAGGCTTTCCAGTGCCCGTTGACATAAAGGCACAGGGTAGTACACCAGGACACAACGGGGACACGTCACCAAGGAGACGCCAGAAGGCAGCAAAACGTCCCCCTCTCCCTGCATAAACTGGAGAGCCAGATGTGGGCGGTAACATCCTGTGCCGCCTCTGGTGGCTCCCGACAAGCAGCTGCTCACGCCGGGTGAAGGGTGATGTCACCGAGACAGGCTCAACCGAGCGTCTCTGTAGAAGGGCCTAGATCCCACACCCACACACGGGGACCTCCTGACCAGGCCCGTGCTGTGCCTGGGAGACTTCTGCTGCTCCTGCGCCCAGCCCTGGGCCGGCAGCGCCCCGTCTCTGGGCGAGGCCACCCGAGGATGCCCCGGGGTTAGGACACAGCCTTGCTGGGGACAGGGGGGAGCAGAGACAAAGCCCGTTATCGGCGAAGGGCAGTGGTTCCTTGATAAATACAGATTTAGGAGGGCAGTTGGCAGTTAAGTAAAGTCTTAATGCTTTTTGCCTGGGTTTGTCCTGAGACCCTAGAAAGGGTGATGGCTTATGCGGGACTTCAGCGGTGGGGAGCACGTGCCTTCTGTTTGCAGAAAGGAGGTTGCCGTCACCCGAGCTGAGCAGCCGAGGAGGGAGGAGGGGGCCGTCCCACAGCTGCAGCCTGCAGAGGACCCCCGGCCTCAGGAAAGGGAGCGAGAGCAAGAGCTTGTTGTGGTCTCGTGGACAGAGGCACAGGGACCCGGGAAGACACGGGGAGAGAGAGAGAGAACAGAGGGGCTCGTGCAAGGCTTCTGCAGTGGGCGTTTTGGTCGCCCCCTCCCCGGCTTCCACTCCAAGACGGAGCCACCATCAGGCCTGATGTCCACCCTTCCCCACGTGAGCCAGGGGAGGGTGGTCCCAGCTGCAAGGTGGTCCCAGTCGCCTTGTCTGTGACTGACTGCAGGGTGGTCACCTGCGTCTGAAGCAGCCAAACAGAGATGTGCGGGGAGGGGCTCTGGAACCTTCCGGGGAACCTCAGAAGCCTTCATGTCTGGGTGTGATCAGCGTCTGCCACCTACTCACCGGGAACCAGGAGGCGAACCAGCCATAGATGGAAGAAAGTATTGAGACAGTGACGCAGACAGCAGGAAGGAACTTGCCTCAGCCAACCCCCAGGACACCCCCGAAGACCAAACAAACCAACTAAAAGCCCCAAACGAGTAGTTAGCAGCGAAACGGGGGAGGAAGCTGTGGCCACCCTGGGGTCAAATACCCTTCCAGAGAGGCTGGTGTTTGGGGATGAACTTGGGGTCAAATACCCTTCCAGAGAGGCTGGTGTTTGGGGATGAACTTGGGGTCAAATACCCTTCCAGAGAGGCTGGTGTTTGGGGATGAACTTGGGGTCAAATACCCTTCCAGAAAGGCTGGTGTTTGGGGATGAACTTGGGGGATCAACAGACTTAGGCCATTCAAAGTGGGGAGCAGGATCAGACACACCCCTTCAGGCCAGAATAAGTATTCTTATTCTTAAAGGCTCTACCTCCTCGGTAAAATGATGGACTAGAAACTGCCTACTCGTGAGCAAAGGCAAGTGGTTTTTAAAAAAATAATGATTAAAAACTAGATACCCACATGCAAAAGAACGGAGCTGCACTCTTACCTAACGCCATATACAAATTAATTCAAATGGATCAAAGATCTAAATGTGAGACTATAAAGCTACAAAACCTTAGAAGAAAACAGAAGGCAAAAGCTTCACAACGCTGGACTTGGCAATGTTTTCTTGGATATGACACCAAAGACACAGTTAACAGCAACAAAATAGACAAATGGGACTTCATGAAAATTTGAAAAAAGTTTGTACACCAAGAGACAGTATTGGCAGAATGCAAAGGCAAATCACAAAATTTGCAAATCATATAGGTGATGAGGAATTATTTCCAGAATATGCAGAAAACTTCTAAAAGTCAACAAGAAAAATTCCAAACAGCCTGATTAAAAAACGGTCAAAGGACTTTACTGGACAGTTCTTCGAAGAAAATGTCCAAATGGCCAATAAATATATAAAAGATGCTCAGCATCACTGCTTACTAGGGAAACACGAATTAAAGCCACAATGGGCAAGCGCATCCCACTTGTTAGGACAGCTGGCGTCAAAAACAACAACGACCGAAAACAACAAATGCTGGTGAGCATGTGGAGAAATTGCAACCCGTGGGCACTGTTGGCGGGAGTGTGAAATGGCTCTGCGCTGTCCCAGCTAGGTAAGGGCACGGGCCTTCTGCTCCGGCACCCAGTTGAAACACATCTGCTGGGAAGTGCAGTCCCAGCTCCGGTGGCTCTTTGATCGGTTTCCGTCCAGAAACATGTCTGGGGGGTGCGAGGACGTGTGTGGTGGGGGTGGCGTTCAGGACATACGGACAGACAGGCCTACGCTGCTGCAGTGGATTCTCTTGAATGGAGTTGTAACAACCCAACCACACTATTTCCAAGGAGAACAGGGAATTCATTGAATATTAACAGTGAGGAACAGCAGGAAAAGCACTGACAACATGTTGACAGTCGCCAGCGGCCCCTCAGCCCTTTTGAGCCCAGCTGGCAAAGCCGCTAGGCTCCTGCCCTCCCTCCCGCGGAGCCGGGGTGTCATCCGGAGTCTGGCCGGCCCTCCGAGAGGCTGGATCCAGGAAAGCATTCGAGGGGGCAGGGCCCCTGCAGCTGGTGGCCTGTGGGCCTTGTCCCCCAACACGATGGATGACTCAAAGGGTCTCAGCCTGGCTTACACTCTGTCCTCTCTGGGCACTATGGAATTTTCAGGGCCAGCCCTGGCCAGAACGAGTAACTAAGTTCACAGTCCGAGAAAGCTTCTCTTTGGCTGCAGGGCAACAAGAGGGGACTGCAGAGTCCCGTGGGGAGGGGAGGAGACCGTGCGAGGGACCAGGGGACCTCCTCTCCTGTACTCCTGCTAAGAATCAGGGCCCTCCCACAGGGCAAAGGGCAGTGGACACATCCTCACGGGTGTTCAAAGGGCAACACCCCAGACATGTGCGTGTGCGTGCGCGGGTGGGGGCAGGGTGGGAGAGCATCTCACACGGGGCTGTTTCTCCCCACAAGAAGTGCCGACCCTTTTGGTGTGAGCACCCCTGACCCACATGGCATGAAGTGACCTTATTTATTCAAGGGCATCGTTGCCGTGAGTGAGGCGTTTGAGAGAGACGACAGTATTTCCCTCGAACAGTTTTCATTATTAACGTTATTTAAATAACATCGTTTCCCTGAGACAGTTTTCATGCCCGCCCCCCCATCTTGAGGTAGCTCTTGAGGCGCAGGGAGGTCTTGGGGGGGGAGCCCTGAGCAGCTGTGCTGAGGACGCTCCCGAGCCGTGGCCCCAGGACGCCCCAGCCCCTGTTGTGGGTCAGGGAGGCTCTGGTCCCTCCTCATCCCTGCAGACTCAGAGCCGTGTCCCCCTGGGCAGAGGGGACGTCCTGCCTCTCATGCCCCCGAACTAGGAATGCACCACAGAATCGCCCTCCTGGAGTTGGGGGGCCATCAGTCAGGACTCGCATGAACACAAGTCACCAAAACCCAACTTGACTAGCTTAAAAAAAAAAATTTCTAAAAAAACACACATATCCGGCGCTCAGGCAAGGACGGTGCTGAGCTGGTCTCAGAAACGACGGAAACCAAGGGCTGGGCGGGTGTCCCTCTCTGTCTGTCTCTGTGCTTCGGTCCCAGGCTCTGTGCCCAAGTTATGCCAGCAGGGGGGACACCACGGTTTGGACTCCACCCCAACAGCTCCTGACCCAGGGAACAAGGTGATGGCACCCCAGGAAGCAATGACAGCTCAGAGGGGCCCGAGCTGTGTCCCTGAGCCCGGCAAAGCAGGGAGGTGCCCCAGCCCCCAGGGCCAGGGTAGGGCTCCAGGGCCCGGCCTCAGTCACCGCACCCTGAGGACTCGGAGATGTTTCTTCCACAGCCCAGGCCTCCTCTGGAAACGGAGTCCAGGGTGGGAAGGCTCTGCTGATCCTTCCATCTAAGGAGCCGTGTCTTTGGCCGGAAGTTCAGAGGACAAGTTGGTGTAGATCAGTTTCCTGTGGCTCCTCAGGGACCCTCTGAGACCCTTTCAGCCAGAGGATAGCACCAACCAGGATGAGCAAGATGGGCACCTTCACAAAGGCCAGGAGCACGTAGTGGGTCCTGTGACAGATAACACTGCAGTCAGAGCCCTGGTCCCAATCTCCATCCCCTGACACTGGGGGCCACCAGCCAGCTCAGCAAGGTCTGTGACCGTAGGCCCAGCAGCCCCACTCTGGAGACCCCCATGAGCCCTGCTGTTGTTTGACTACTACTGTGTTTCCACGAAAATAAGACCTACCCATAAAATAAGCCCTAGCAGGATTTCTAAGCATTTGCAGAATAGAAGCCCTACCCCCAAAATAAGACCTAGTGATGGGCGTGGCTACGCAGCATATCTGCACAACCCATAAATTTCGTCCTTGGAGTGGTAAAGAAGATGAGCAGCCCTTCTCATCTGCCCCATGAAAGAGCTCTATGGCTCTACATGAGAGATTGGGGCCAATGGTTCTAAAGGAAATAGAGCCGCAAGAAATTCAGGATGGAATTCGGGGTTTGGAGAGTTATGATGATGTTCCAGAAGAAGATGACTTAACTACATTTCAATAAACGTAGATTGTTGTACCATACTTAAAAAAAAATAACACATGCCCTGAAAATAAGCCCTAGGGTGTCTTCTTGAGGAAAAATAAATATAAGACCCTGTCTTATTTTCGGAGAAACACGGTACGAGGGCCCCTCCTACAGCGACCTCAGCTGTTCACACTGGCCTGTCGTCTCTTCTAATTTCACGTTCTGGGACTCCACTTGGCCCAAAGCACATCTCAGCCCATAGAAGTCCCTGGAGGTCACCAAATACAGGCTGTGTTTTTCTGCCTCTGTTACTGCTAGTGCCAGCTCCAGGTTGGTAAATCACTCTCCCTGTGTTGTGTCCCTTGATGTCTCGCACATCAAGAAATTGTGATGTGGAGATTGGAATTTTATTTCCCCTTGGCAGCCATAAGGCCACCAGTGCTTTTTTGTTGACCAGTTAGACGGGTAGGTGGTGCTCATAGAGAAGAGCTCTGCAGAGCGGTTTTCTAGTGAGCGCTAGAAAGGGAAGATGGTGGGTGTAGAGTAATGGGTGCAGAAGTGAGACAGAGGGTGAGCTTGGGGCCTTAATTCTGGCTATAAAAGGCACTATCATACAGTGACAGACACAGACAGAAGGAACTCCCAGGTTTTGCTTCCCTATAGGAGGGGGCCCAGCTAGGGGCAGGAAAAAGGACCACATCACTCACCTCTTGGAGGAGTCGGAGGACTCCCCCATATTGCTGTTGGCAGGTGGCCTGGCAAATGGTTTGGAAGATGAGCTTGCTGAGGAGGAAGCAGTTCCCACTAGACACAAGCAAAGTTGGTTGCAGGTTATTAGCACCGCTGGGGGTTGGTGCATGACTTACAAGTCACCCCCACCCTGCCAGTCCTCACCAGGAGACCTTTATTCCCCTGGAGCAGGAAGCTTTCCTCGGGCTTCCATTGGGTCCTCTGAGTCACAACACACAGTCTTTATTCCATCATTTTGAGGGGGTGGCAAGAAGACATAAAAATTAAGTAGGAGCAAGCACTTTAGTTATTCTGGGGGTGAGAGAGAAATCTTTTCATATTCTCTTTCCACTTACCTTTGTAAGTAGTTGGGGGGGAAAAATCTCTGTTCCTTTCCACTTGAGTAGTGGCTAAGCATGGCTCAAGGACAGAAGTTTCCAGAAATGGGGCGTCTAGTTACTGGGGAGGTAAGGGAGGAGGAGACTCCAGAAGGCTGGTGACTAAGAGGGCACATTCTGGTTAAACAGTGAACAATGACAGTGAGGGACCAAATGTCCTTCTGAGGAACTCTGTAGGCGATCTGTCGTGGGCAGTCTGGTCACGGGTTCCTGAGACCAGCCCGGCACGGGATCTGTGACCTGCCGGCGAACTTTCATGTCAGTCCTCAGCTTGGCAGACTCTTTTCTCAGGTCCCAGGCTTGGGTCACACTAGACAGCCTGGTGCCCTCACCAAGACCCCTAAATGTCTTTGTCCCTAAAGCCCCACACTGGCCACGGTTTCAGCCTCTCTCTCCCTTGCCTGTGAGCTCTAATCCCTTCCCTGTCCCCACAGACCTGGGCTTCTCTGACATAGCAGTCTTGGGGAACCCTTGCTTGGAAGACACTTTCTGGGCTCCACTCGGCTCAGGGGCAGCTCCTATGTCCCTCTTTGGTCCCACCCCAGGATACTTGTGCTAAAGCTGGCACATCACTTCCCGACATGCCTGCACGGATGCAGGGCAGGGGCGGGACTGGGCACGCATGTGTGGGTGGAAGCGGAGAGGGGCCCCGCAACAGCAGCAGGAAGACCCCGGCGACCCTCGGTGGGGTCCAAGGCACAGAGGAGATGTCAGAGCATCCAGAGAGGTCCCCGAAGTTGACCTAGTGGCTGAAGCCTTCCTTTCTTTATGAAGAGTCCACTGTCAACTGTGCACTTCCCTGGCTCTTTCTCCTCCCTCACTCACTTTTGGGCAGCCAGAGAAGGTAGAGGAGGGGTGGCTGGGGACCCAGAGAGGAGAGGCTCTGTAAAATGCCCAGAGCCACTCTGGGTTGGCCAAGTTCCTGGGACTCAACACTGGAACCCTCCAGGCTACCCCAGGTCCTCCCAGTCCCACCTAATGACAGGACCAGAAGACCAACCACTTCCTGGAGTGACACCCTGCAGGGGTCTGAGGCTCACCCTGGGCTCTGATGAGAGACCACGAGGCTGTCCAGCCTCCAGAGAGCACGGCTGGGCGATGGGCCACCCAGGCCAAGTCGCACAGCCCCACCCCAGCTCAAGCTCCCTCCCTGTCCGTCTGTCCGTCTGTCTTTTAAGCTCTCAGTCACTTCTCTTCGGCCCTTGGGGAGGAGAAGGTTAGAGCACTGGCTTGTTCAGTCCTGAGCTCCAGGGCCTCCTGGTGTAGATGAGGAAGTTCTTACCTGACTCGACGATCACTTTAACTTGGGTCCCAAGGTCGGTTCCGACTTTCCGGATCCCACACCAGTAAGTGTCTGTGTCGTCTGGCCTGAGCCCCTCCATGGTCACGGTGAACGAGAGATCTCTCCAACTGTCCCTGATGGACACTCGGCCACTCTTCTCCTCTTGCTGTGACCCTCGGGTTTGAACGAGGACCTTGCACAAATTCCACTTTGCCCCTCGACACCACCACTTGCTGTAGGTCTCCCATCCTTGGTTATAGCGACACTGCACAGTCACCAAGCCCTGCTCTGGGCCCCTCACGAACTCTGGGCCTTGGATGGAGAGACAGCCTGGAAAACAGAACCCCAAGATAGAGCTCCTGCCACCCTGCACCAGGATCCAGGACCTCCCCAGCCAGCCCTGACACACCTGACCCCTCCGACCGCCTCCCCCTCAGCCGGGCCCCACATCAGTGTCCTCGGGGCCTCTTTGGTCCTTTTCTGCCCCAGCCTGCTCATAACACACGACACCCTGGTTTCTGTCACCCTCTTTCCTTGTCCTCCCAACGCTGTTCTCCTCTGATCTCCTGCTTCTCTGACTACTCTGTCTCTTCCTCTCTCTTTAACTCTTGATGTAACCAGTCCTGTGCTGGTAGATATTTACAACCAGCTCCCGTGGGGGGAGGGAATCTCTGGTTTGTAACATCTGCTCATTCCTGTAGTGTAAGTACTCCCAGCACGGCTGATGTCAGGCTACCCATGTGATGTCGAGGGACACAGGGCTGGGAAGAGGTGTCCCACACCAGCTCTGTGAGCCGGTAGGAGCCGGCTGCAGCACAGCTCGGGGGTAAGCTGGAGTTCTCCCTCCAGCCTCCAGGAAAGGATGTTCTCCACGACGGCCTGTGTCCTGGAAATTCCCAAACCCACGTTTGTAGCTCAGATTCTGCCCTGAGCTAGCCCACCATTTACAGAGACGCGCCGGCTATCTCTCCCCCAAATTCAGTCCGAATGGAGCTGGATACACTGCCTCCCCCACCCTGGACCTGCTCAGCTTCAGGACCTTCTCTCTAGCGGGGCCTCCACGGGGACAGACTGACAGGGGCCGGATCAAAGTGGAACGGGTTAGAGGTGAGCACAGGTACCACGGGTGTCCTGTGGTCCTGTTGGTGACTCCAGCAGGGCTGACTATGTCGAGATACACTCTTTCCCCGGCAATGACCCCTTGTTCCTTGATCATGTGGAAGCCTCTCTTGACCGACTCTTGGTCCCAGAGACTCAGGCCCAGGCCGGGGGTCTCTGCAGGGCATACACACTCGGCAGGTGCCACCTCCTCACCCCTTAGACCTGCTCCCTGGAGTTATTTTAGTTTATTTAAGGTTTGCATTTGTGAGTGGCAGATGAATCCATCCCCATAGATGTTGGAGAATGTAAGAATATGTCCCCTTACATGGCAGAAGGGACTTTGAAAATGTGATTAAGTTAAGGGTCCTGAGACACGGAGACTATCCGGGACCATCCCGTCCCCATGGGTCTGATGAGCGAGAGAGGTGGAAGGAGGGCTAGAGCGGAAGATGCTCCGCTGCTGGCTGTGCGGAGGGAGGACGGGGCCACGAACCGAGGAGAGCAGGTGGCGTCTAGAACCTGGAAAGGGCAAGGAGGCAGCTTCTCCCCGGGAGCCTCTAGAAGGGACGCAGCCCTGCCGGCACCTGGATTTTAGCCAGTGAGACCATGTCCCACTTCAGATCTTCAGACAGTAGGATGATGACCTTGTGTTGTTCTAAGCCACAGAGTTGGTGGTGATTTGTTCCAGCAGCAGTGGGAAATTCATGCTGGATCATCAGAACCAACTCTATGCTCTTCAAACAGAAGCACTGTGGAGCCTCGCTGGAGAGCCTGGGGTCTTGCCCGAGCCTGTCCCTCCCCTCACCCCCAACGGCTGATCAACAGCCAACTGAGTCAGCTCTGCCTCGGCAATGCTCCTCGGAATTACTCTCTTCTTCTACTCTCTGCAGTCGCAGGCCGTGAGGACAGCATGACAGCGGAGAGAGCATGACCTTTGGAAACATCTATCTACCCCGGACTCGTTGGGAAACCCTGCATGAGTTGCTTAACCTCTCGGAGTCTTGCTTCCTTATTTGCAAAACAGCCACATGAGACTCTCTACTTGCAGATGGCAATACGGCTTGGATGCGAGTCCAACACCTGACGTTTGGGGGTCGCTCCGTCGGCGACAGCCTGTCAACAGGCCGGGACCCTGTCTGGTGCCTGGATCATGGCAGTGGCCTCCGGGGAGGTTTCTCCTGCCTGGCAGCATCCTACCAGGCTGTCCTCACCATGCCACTGCCTCAGCTGCACCCGCTGCAAGCTCCTCAAAATCTCCCAGGACCTCCCCTGCAGCCCCGCCCCACTGCCTTTAGAACAGGGGTCCTCAAACTTTTTAAACAGGGCACCAGTTCACTGTCCCTCAGACCATTGGAGAGTGCTGTGCACATTCCACACATGCGCACTGTGGGCCCGGGATGAGCCGGCTGCTAGCAGGACAGGCAGCAGTGGCAAAAACACCCAGGCTGGATAAATGTCCTCGATGGGCCTCATGTGGCCCGCTGGCCGCAGTTTGAGGACACCTGCTTTAGAACGATGTGAAATGCTTTCGTTTGGCATTCAAGCCTCTTTACGATAGGGATCCAATGTCCCTGTCCAGCGCTGTTCGCTGCCTCTCCCTCCAGATTACAACCCGCCCCCACCTTGTTCTTCCCCTCACCCTGGCGTGCCCTCCCAGGCTGGTGTGCTGCTGTCTCCAATGCCTGCCCTGTCACCTCCACACCTCCTTCAAGGCTCGGGCCTCTTTGCAAAGTCATATTCCCGTCCCCGCCCAAACAGCTCCCTCCCGCCGCACTGGTGTTTTATTCCTGTCTCTCTTCTTCTTCCTCCCTTGCTGGGGCGCTCACTCCGGAAGGGCAGAGATTTTGCGTTCATATTTTTTTCCTCTCTCTCTTCCCCATTCCCAGCCCCAGTGTCTTGCTCAGTGTCCGGCTCATGGTAGGTGCAAATAAATTTAGTGGCTGTTTTTGAAAAGAAGCTGGTCATCATGATCTTGAACATAACCATTCAACTCTAGGACTAGCTATAATTTCCACACCAATGGACAACAAAGTATAAGCATGTTAATGGCAGCACTAATGTAATAATAAACATTGGAAACAAATCAAATGTCATCATTGAGGGGTTGGGCTAATAAATTATGGCCCATCCACAACATTATCTTTTCTTTTTTTTTTTGAGACAGGGTCTTGCTCTGTCACCCAGGCTGGAGCCCAGTGGAGTGATCATAGCTCACTGTAACCTGGAACTCCTGGGCTCAAGCGATCCTCCTTCCTCAGCCTCCTGAGTAGCTGGGACTACAGGTGTGCACCACCAACACCGAGCTAATTTTTTTTTTTTTTTTTTTTGAGACAGAGTCTCACTTTGTTGCCTAGGCTAGAGTGAGTGCCATGGCATCAGCCTAGCTCACAGCAACCTCAAACTCCTGGGCTCAAGCAATCTTTCTGCCTCAGCCTCCCAAGTAGCTGGGACTACAGGCATGCGCCACCATGCCCGGCTAATTTTTTCTATATATCTTAGTTGGCCAATCAATTTCTTTCTATTTATAATAGAGACAGGGTCTCGCTCTTGCTCAGGCTGGTTTCGAACTCCCGACCTCGAGCAATCCACCCGCCTCGGCCTCCCAGAGAGCTAGGATTACAGGCGTGAGCCACCGCGCCCGGCCAACCGAGCTAATTTTTTTAAAAAATTTTTCTTTTTAGAGATGGGATCTTGCTGTGTTTCCCAGGCTGGTCCGGAAATCCTGACCTCAAGTGATCCTCCTGACTCAGCTTTCCAAAGTGTTGGGATTTACAGGTGTGAGCCGCTGTGCCTGGCCCATAATATGGTTGAAAAGCAAAAGACAAATCACCAGACAATGATAGGGAAAGATGTTCAAGGTATGTTATTACTAGGCTTGAAAAAAGTTGCCTACGAGAGTGTATGATTCCATCTCTGTGGTTTTCCTATAGCATGTGTGTAGGAAACAATCTGAAATTGTGTCTTCTAAACTCTTACCAGTGGCTAGCACCGACACTGGGTGTTTGGGGTGGGGGCAATTTCTCTTTCTAAATCATATGCTTCCGTTGTGTTAAAATGCTCCCAATGTCATTAACTGATAAAACAACAAGGAAAAATTTTAAGAATTGAGAAAAGGATCAATTAGGAGAAGGATCACCAAAAGACAGCGACAACTGGACATTAAAATCAAATGCAGAAGTCACAGGAGAGGGCGATTTTCTTTCGTAAAAGAAGAGCAATGCAACTGCAGTAGAAAGCAGGGGGTCAATGCACAGTGCACTTTTCAGCAATCTCGAACGGCAGAAAAGTGACGCTTCTGCAGCTGCCTCAGCCCCAGCGGCAGCAACTTGACCTGACTCCGAATGGGATCGGGCACATTTAAAAGATATGTGTGTATGGGAGGGTTATAAACACAGATTATGATGGACGGGACTATTAACTAGGCCTGTGTGTGTTTGCAAGGGTTGGTTTGAGGGCGATGGATGACCGGACAGCCATCAGCTCAGAGCAGAACCCTGGGGAAGGGGGCTGACGGGTTTTAAAAGCGTCAGGCTGTGTACATGTCAGTGTTTTGATTTTGTGAACCCCAGATGGAAACTTTCTCTTCTGTGTCAATCCTCCAGGACCCAGTTTGCCCCCTGTCCTTGCGTGAACAAAATCCTTGTGTGAATATCTTGTCTCAAAATGCAGAGATTGGCCGGGGGCCCCTGTCTGGGCCGGCAGAAAGTGCGGCGAAGGACAGCGCCCAGAGCAGAGAAGCCCGGGGGTGCCAACCCTCACGGTGGTGCAGAAACGCAGAGAGAGGCCCTGGGATTCCCGCTGGCTGTGGGGTGGGATTGGAGCCCATCTCATCTTGCAGCTGCGGGGTGGGCGTCCCTGCAGACCTTGGGTGGGGGTGGGAATAGCAATAGTAATAGCAATGCCAGCCCAGCCTCCGCGGAGTAACTTCCCAGATACAGATCTGCGCTTCTGGCCGTCCTTGCATCACGTTCCTGGTTGAGACAACCAGGGTTTGTTCTCTGACTTGCAAACACTCACAGAGCGCCCGCTCTGTGCCAGCCCCCGCCCGGGGTGCTGGGCCCTGCCTTCATCTTGGGGCATCGGGGGGTCACGTAACCCATCAGATAAGAGAAGATCCTCCCGGAAATTGGATCATTCTGACCTTACCCCATCCAGTTTCTCTGCTCTCATTTCACAGAAATAACCTCAGAGTGGCGAACGGCGATCTGTCGGCGGGAATGTGGCAGGGTGGCTTTGCTTTCATGCCTGACTCACTCGCCTGCTTCCCTCGTACAAAACTCAGTGGGACAAGGAGGCCTTTCTGCCCTGTCTCTGCAGGACCCTCCTCCCCACCCCCAGCTAGCCACAGCGCAGCCACGGTGCGTCTCACCTGGGGGAGGGGAGTGTTTGTGTGGCTATGCGCAAGTGCTGATAAGTGTGTGTCACTTTATGTCACCATGTGTGAGTGCATGAGTGTGTACGTAAGCCTGAGTGTGACTCTGGGACCCTGAGCAGGAGAGTGAATGTGTATGAGTGTGAGTGTGAGACAACAGAGAGGTGTGTGCGGGTGTGGCTGCACTTTGACTCCTCTGTGTGTATTGTGTGTGCGTGTGACAACGTGTGAGCCCAGGCCTAGTTTGCCCGCCCCCTTCTCCTCGGCCTCCAGGTGGGCTGCAAGTAGGAGCTAAGAGAGGGAGCAGCTTGGGGTCTCTCATCTCAAATGCAAACTCGGAGCCCGGAGGAGGCAGATGCTCCCAATCGCTGTCCCCTGTGGATTCTGGGCCACGTGGAGCCCTGCTTAATTCGTGGGGCTGCTGCTGTCACAGGTGGTCTACCAGCGTCATCACTGGGCTTCCTCCTCCTCCTCATCATCAAATCACCCACGGCAGCAGTAACCCAGGCCTTATTCACTCTGTCCAATCTGAGTAGCAGAGTTCTCCAACTTCGGGGCTAAAAAGGACCCCTGGGACTTCCCACTCATACCAGAGATCCAGGTTTTAGGACAATCAAGGGCTCACCTGAACCACACCCTCCCGCCCCCCACCTGGAGCTCGGGTCTCAGAACTGGCCATGCTCTTTCCTGCCGTCCCTCTGCGGACTGGTCTGTCTGCGCCAGATGGTCAGTCCCCAGGCTCCAAGAGGACTGTGTAACCCACACATACTGCACACACTGCATGAAATTCCGGGCTGTCCCATAATGTCCTCAGAAGTTTGCCACGGAGGAGAAGATACTCTAGCCCTTCTCATCTCCCACCTGGGCTCTTGAGCAGTTTTCCCTTCGAAAGTCTCAGCTCCCAGGCATGGTATCCAAGGCCCTTCGTAATCCTGTCTTTTGCATATCCAACCCATCGCCCCGAGGCGTCCTGCACACAGAGAGCATCCCCTGCACGAATACACCATCCTCCCCACGCCTCCGCCCCTCTGCACATCCGTCTCCCTGCAGTGCTCTTCTCTCTGCTCACTTCGGGGACTGAGCCCTCCTGCAGACTGGACGCTTTCTCTAGCTCCCCCAGCCACTGCCCAGCCGGCCTCTGCGCACCCTCCGCCAGGGCCTCACCGCGTCCCGCCACTGGCTGTCGTTTGCATGTACGTTTCACCCACCAAACCGTGCGGGGTGATCTTCCCTGGCGAGCTCTACTTCTCTTTTCCCTATGTGTCCTCAGGGTCTGATGCACACCTGGCACGACGCGTGTCCCCAGTGCACTTTTGCCGAGGGACTAAACAAAGCTGTCTCTCATTGCCCTGGACGTGGCAGCTCCCCTGGGACCTGGGACAGATGCCCTCTGCCTCCTGCCCCGCCCCTGCAGTACCAAGCCCCACTCACCTGAGAGGCCGAGAAGGAGCAGAGCCGGGGGCAGCCACATGGCCCTGCTGCCCCCACTGCCAGCCCCTCTCCCCCTGCCCTGCAGCCGGTGACCAAATCGGATTCCAGCTGGACTCTTGAAGTTCTGCCTGAGCCCAGGCTGCCTTTGAAATTCTTACTCACTCACTTCCTTTTATAGAGTGGCTATTTCCTGCTTTTAATTATTCAGCAAAAGAGGTGGCATTTTTTGGCAGGGCTGAGTCACAGGACTCGCCCGTCCTCAAGAGGTAGGGAGAAGGAGGTAAGGGGACTGCAGGATCAAGAGGAGCAGGGGACACCTGTCTGCAGGAGGGCTGGGTGGGGGTCATCTGACCTATCAGGCCTTTGGTCCCAGGGTACCACACTGTGGGTGCCAACTCCAGAAATGTTCTTCGCCACGGTGATGGGTCCCAGCCTCAGGGAAGCCCCAACTCAGATGTCAAATGGGCCACGCTCGGCAGACCTGGAGGTGCATTTGTTCGGGTGTTAGACCCAAGTGCGTAGAAGTGCAGACTGTGGGGTAGGACAGACCTGGGCTGTAACCCACAAGCACCATGTACAAGCTGTGTGACTATGGCCAACTCACTTAACCTCTTTGAGCCTCTTAGGCTCTCTGAGCCTCAGTTTTTGCATCTATCAATTGGCCTAATAATGATTACTGTGAGAATTAAATGAGACAACATGTGTGAAGTTCTGAGAGCAGGGTCCTAGGATAAAGTAAGTACCTGTGTTATTAACAGTACTCCCTGAAAAACTTAAGCCGCTCGATGAAGAGATAAAATAAGCCCAGGACAGGGGCTGAGAGGAGGCTGGGGGGCCTGGGCTTCCTTACTAGTAATAAGACAAATTCTAACCTCCACCTGACATAATTTAATTAGCTTCCTTATTTATATCCCAATAGCTAAAACTCTTGGAAAACGATTTTGGAAAGCGGGTGAGGGTATTTCTTTCCAAATCTCCAGGCTGTGGAGAGGAGGAGCTCCCCCTGGAAGTCCTGTGGTCAGGGTGGCTCAGGACACTAACAAAGGACTTGCAAAGAATTTCTACAAATCAATCAGAAAAACATACACAAACATCAGAAAGTAGACAACATAGTAGAACAGATATTTTACAAAAGAGGAAATCCAAATGACCAACAAACACATGAAAAGGGGTTTAATATCGTTAGTAATCAGAGAAATGAAAACGACGAGATCCCATTTCCTACTCATTCACTTGGAGAAGTTTAGAAAGTCTGATGAGATTCGCAGCAGTCCCCTGTGGAATCTGGGCCACGTGGAGCCCTGCTTAATTCGTGGGGCTGCTGCTGTCACAGGTGGTCTACAGCGTCATCACTGGGCTTCCTCCTCTTCATCATCAAATCACCCACGGCAGCAGTAACCCAGGCCTTGTTCACTCTGTCCAATCTGAATAGCAGAGTTCTCCAACTTCGGGGAGTGGGAGTGGAAATTGGAACACAGTGGTGGGAGTGGAAATTGGAACACAATTTGGAACTGCCTAGCTGGTTTTGCACGAATCTCAGAAATAAAATGTTGCATGATAAAACCACATTACTTAGAAATAAAAAACGTATAATATCGTTTTTTAGAAAGTTGAAAAATAAGCAAAGCTAAACAACATACCCTTTGGAAATCCCTTAAAGCCAGGAGATGGTGAACATGAAATTGCAGGTGTGGCCCCCCACAGAGGAGGCTAGAGAAAAGGCACATAGAACAGGAAGGGGTGTGGGGATCCTAACTACTCATGATGTTCTATCACTTAAGCTGGACAGTGGGCACCCAAGTGTTGAAGGGTGTTCTTGCTTTAAAGCATATGTTGGCCAGGAACGGTGGTTCATGCCTGTGATCCCAGCGCTTTGGGAGGCTGAAGCGAGAGGATCGCTTGAGGCCAGGAGTTTGAGACCAGCCTGGGCAACATAGCAAGACCCACCCCTCGCCGACCATTGCTACAAAAAAAAAAATGTTAAAAATTAGCTGGGCTCAGTCGCTTACACCTGCAGTCCCAGCTACTTAAGAAGATCGTCCAAGCTCAGGAGTTTGAGGCTGCAGCTATGATCACGCCACTGCACTCTAGCCTAAGTGACAGAGCGAGACTCTGTCTTAAAAAAATTTTTTTAATTAAAAATAAATAAAGTGCATGTGTTCTTTTGTGTGTATTGCTACATCACCAGAAAAAAGTCTCCAAAATGTTTACAGAGTGTTCTGATAAAAGCATGGATTTATTGGTCAGAAGGTCGTTCCCATAAACAAGAGGGGCTGTGTGGCTTGGCAGGGCATTGACGGGCATCGGGGCTACTGGGCCTCATCACTGGGCCGGCACTGCCTGGCCCTGAGGCTTCCCCAGGGCCCGCCCACCCACAGCACTGCACCCAGCGCACCCACGAGCAGGGGCAGCTTCAGGAGCACCAGGAGCAGGAAGTAGGATCTGTCCAGCAGGCACCTGTGGGGACACAGTGACAGACAGTGACTCACCTCCCCAGGGGGAGGCCCTGGTGCCCTCCACTTTCCCCTGTCCCTTGTGCTCCAGTCCTGTGGCCACGACAAGCCACATAAAGACCAAGCTGCCCCGCAGAGAAGAACACTGCCCCCTGGTGGTCATACTGAGGATAGCCCTGAGACATGGGGGGTGGGGGGAGCGTGCGGGTGATGTGTTCCACCTGGGGGCCAGGTGGAACCTGAATCCAGAAGAATTTCTATCAAAGCCCTCTACATTTAGGGGCACCTCCTTCCGAGGTACAAGAATCAACAAGGTGGATATTTGGCTAATGCCTGCTCCTCCATAGACAGTCTTCCCCGTGAGGACAGGGCCCCATGTTGTCTTGTTCACAGAGTAACTAGCACCTTCCTGCACCTGCACAGCATCAGCATCAGCCCACAAAAGCCACGGCCGTTGAAGGAATGAATGACTCAACTTGGCTCTCACTCCTCAGAGGACTGGGTTCATCAACACAGGGTGACACTTCTGACCAGGGCTGGGGAGGGAGGCAGGGGAGAGGGCTGGGCCCCCGGATCCCCAGAGCGTCTGCACTCACTCTTCCTTCCACCTGGACCCCTCCTTCTCCCCACCCCAGTGCCCAGCCCCCACCCTGCAGGTCTGCACTCGCCTGTCCTCCAACTCGTGAGGCCTCCCCTGATCATCGGAGATAAACAGCAACCCCAAAGCCCTGCCATGCACACTGTCCCCAAACCTGAGTGACAAATACTCCTTCCTAGGTTTTATCACAATGTGCTGTCCTTACATCTGGACTCTCGTGCTGACTTGTTCACTGTGTGAATCCACCCAGTAGAACCCAATTCCGTCAGAGCCAGACGGTGCCTGTGTGCATTTTGCTGCTGTGACACAATCCCGAGAAAAGTGTCTGGCACTCAGTGGGACCTTCACATTAGGGGTGGGAGGGGTGACCAAAGAAGGGACCGGAAGCAAGGAGACACGACCACCCCACCTCGCCCCAACCAGAGGAGAGGCCACGCGGGGGGCGCAGCCCTGGACGCAAGCCCCTTACCGAGGGTGTGGGCTGGGATCGGGGCTGTCCTGCCCGGAGGAGCTGGGCCGGGTGCCTGCTGGCAGGAACGTGGGAGGACCCTCGGTGCCGGTGACGCTGTCGGGGCTGGGGGCTGCGGTCGAGGCTGTGGAGGAGCATAGTCAGGCACGGTGACCTCGCCGGGGTCTCTCACTCGCCGGCACCTGGCTAGCTCTGCCTCCCACAGACAGGGGCACTCGGGGCGTGCTGGACAGATGTCCTGGGTGCCACATGCCCCATGGCCATTTCGGGGCCTGACCAGGGCCCTGGGCCCCTCCCTGGCCCCATCCCCAGGTACTCAGTAGCCAGGTGGCACTTTTAGACATGAGAGTCACCCTGCCCACTGGGGATGTGAGAGTCAGAGGAAAGGGTGCGGGGCTCCCGTCCCCACCCCACCCAGGCAGGGACAGGGTGTCCCTTGCTCTGTAGGGTTGACCCAGAGTGACTAGGGTCCCAGGCCCTTGGCACGGCAGGGGTTGGAATAAGGCTGCGCGTGGGAACAAGGACGGTCACTGGTGTCTTCTGTGAAGACGGGACCCGTGTGCACTCAGCCCTCTTAGTCCCCAAATGTCAGCCGGGCCATGGCTCCAAGCAGACCACTGGACTGTGCTCTGGGGGGTGTGACCGGGAAGAAAGATCTGGAGAGCCGCGCCTGGTGGGCCCTGGGAGAGGGGCCGTGGTGAGGCCAGCTGGGCAGAGAGGCTTGCCGGGGTTCACTTCCTCCCTCAGAGACGAGCACCCACACGGGGCATGGCAGGGAAATGAAAACCGAGAAGACGAAACTCGAAACTCACTGCGACTCAGGAGAAAGGCAGAAGAAAACACAGGGAAGATTCGTCTACTTGGGTCCCCTTGGTTTGGCTCCCATGAAGCAAGGGCAGGGCTCTTTAAGGAAGAATCGTCTGCAGAACAGGGAAGAGTGTGGGGTCCACGGCAGCGGAGGCCCGTTTCTCCCCGCCACTTCATGGGGTTCTCTGGGTTCCCTTCTGGGGTGAAAGATGCCAGAGAATGAGGGGGGACAGACAGGTCAGCCTGGGGCAGGGCGAGGTCAGCCCCCACACGGGAGTCCGGGCCCCCCAGGGCCGGGGCCAGGGTGGTGAGTCCGGGGCCATTCCCGACAAGGTGACGCCACTCGGGGCCCAGGGTCCTGGGCAGCCTTCGAGGTCCCCCCACCACAGGGAGGCTGGAGGCAGGTCCAGACGAGGCAGGGGTCCCCTCGGAGCAGACACAGCCCTTGTCAGGACAAGAAGGCAGCAAAGGGGGTCCCACGGTCCCCTCGCAGGAAGCACCAGGACAGTGGTGTCAGGGCGTGGCACCCCCACAGGGCCTGCAGAGCAGACTGGGGCACAACGTGTGTGCACACACAGACACACACTGTGCCTCCACCCTCAGACCCCCCTGTGTCCCAAGTCTTTCCTGAGGGACAGGGGGCCACACCCAGACTCGCTCGGCCCCGGTGCTGCATGAGGGAAGGCCTCACCTGGGAACACCGACACCTTGACCTGGCAAGCCTGGTGACTTCCGTCGATGGGACGACTTTGGATCCCACACCAGTAATTGCCACTGTCCTCCATCGTGAGGTTGTCCAAGGTCACTCTGAAGGTCAGGCTTTCAGGGTAGTCCTTGATGGACACCCGGCCATTCCTCACTTCTCTCTCTGACCATCCAGTCGCCACAATGTCGTCCCTGTAGGTGCTCCAGATTTTGTTTCCAGTCCTGAACTCCTTCTCATACTGACACTGCACGCTCAGGGACCCCCCCACGGTGCCCGTCACGCTGTAGGGGCAGCTCAGAGAGAAACCGCCTGGAAAACACAAGCCCAGGTGCGCCTGGCTCGGGGGGTCCTGGGTCAGGTCCTCGAGGACCCTGGGGGTCCAGGGGTTGCCACGGCCGGCACACAGGCCTTGTCAACCCAGCCTCCGCACTGAGCAGGGCTCCGGGACCCAGGCTGGGAAAACGCTGTGTGTGCACACACGTGTGTGTGGGATTGTGCGTGTGGATTACATAACTGTGGCAGCGGCAACCATAGACACCCTCCCCCCAGGGCTTGCTCTGTCGTGAGCACCATGGGACAGGACTCCTCTGTGTGGTACACTGAACCCTGGCGGTCACCTGGCAAGGCAGGTGTGACCACTCCTGCCTGGGTGCTCCTCTGCCCTCGCACCCCCTCTCCACGGCTCCACGGCCCCCTGTCGGCCACTCCCACCCTCCCCTGCCATGTCCTTCCCCCTCAGGACAGAGCTTCAGTGTCCAGGGCTGCCACTCACCTGGGACGTGCAGGAGGAGCAGGGCTGGGGGCAGCCACGTGGCCCAGTCCCTCGCGGTCATTCGTGCAGCACAGAGGTCACCTGCAGCTGCACCTGATGCCAGGAGCAGCCAGAATGCAGCCTGCTCCCAGGAGGTCTGTCTCTCAGTCCCCACTTCTGCTTCCCCCTTCTCTGCTTCCTTGTCCAGCCCTCTAGGGTCTGAGGCTCCAGCTGGTTGGCGTGCAGGCAGCTCAGGGGGAGAAGCCACCTGGGCTGGTGCAGACAGCCCTGGGACTCAGCGCCACCAGCTCCCCTCAATCCCAGCAACTGGTCACGTCCAAGGTCCCTTGGCTGGGAACACAGCCCCTCCCCACTGCCCGCAGCAGCTGGTCTCACTGTCTGGCACAGCAGAGCCCAGCTGACGAATCCCTCCTCTGTGTGGCCACCCCATACGTGACGATGTCCCTTCCTGGTCAGGATTAACAGAGTTCTGGGCAGGGAGGCCAGACGCGCCCATCTTCCTTAGCCTTGGTGGTGACCACAGAGGACCTGTGTCCCCCTAGCCTTCAGCTCAGGTGCCCACAGACAGCTCTGTCCCCTGAGGCCCCCAGCTCTTCTTCTGGCCTCACAAGTTGGCACTAGGACCCCAGACACCTTCGACATGTCCCACTGTGGTGCTGCACCTAGTCCCCATCCAGTGCCGAGAAGAGAGTTCAGGGGCGTGAAGATGCTGAAGAGGGAATTTGGGGACCATGTGAGGCTCAGACGGTGCCTTTCCCTGCACCCAAAGGCACATGGAGAGGACAGTTTTGTACCTAAGAGGGTGGTCGGCACACCTGCCCCGGCTGCTGGGCTCTCTCCTAAAACCAGGGCCTCTCCGGGGAAGACAGACGCAGGACAGAACTTCTTGGGGGCGGGCACAGGGGGCTGCTCACACTCAGAGTGGCTTGTTCTCCTGATGTGCTGGGTCGAGGGTCAGTTTGCCCTGGAGGGGGCAAGAGGGCCCACCTGCTGTCTCCCTGGGGTCTGCCACCCTTTCTCATCATTGCCACGCACAAACCTGCTCTATCTACTCCCCACCCCACCCTCTCCCCGCAGATGTCTTTTCGTCCCCAAAGCCAATAACATCCCCCCGAGCCGCTGCAGCCCCGATCCTGTCATCACCGGCCCTCCTTCCTCCGCCAGGTAGACCTGTCTTGCATCTCTCCCACCTGCTCGTTCCCCGCTTCCCCCGACACACGCCGTCCTCTCTGCCATCCACACCGAGTGACTTCCCTCCTCCTTCCCAATCCCGCTTGACGTTCTTTCTTCTCTGCACAGCGCAGCAGCCAGCACTTTGACGTACGTCTGTGATAGTCAATGTCACCTCTCGCCCCGTGTCCTACTTGGTCCGAGTGGACCCGGCCACTGGCCGATTCTTCACTTTCATCTGGTTGCCCCACGTGGCCCCACGAGGTCCCTATATTCTAGCCACGGGGCCCAGCACCTGCTGCTGCCTCTCCCCGAATCCCTCCCCTCAAATCTGCTCTCCTCTGGCTCCTTATTTGCCGTTAGTTTCAACTCAGCTGTCACCTCCTCTGAAAGGCCTCCCAGGGATCACCCCTGCTGTCCCGATCACGATCTCCGTGCTCATCTCTGCACATCTCACCAAGTGCTGCCGTTACGTTGCTGGTTTCTGCCCATCTCCCCCACCAGGATGTAGCTAGCACCGCGTCAACATGGGGGTCTGCTTTGCTCACCATGAATGTCCCAGTGTCCAGCTACCGTGTGCGGTGACAAATGGTCGGCATGAAATAAATACTCGCTGAACCAGTGAATGAGAGAATAAATAAGGACTGAATGTGGCAGCAGAGGCCAGCCCTGGGCCAGCGTGTCCTACGACAGTGGACATCTATGGCCGCATAACAGATTCCCCCCAGACTCAGCAGCTGAAAACAACGAACGTTTGTTATCGCACAGTGTTTGAGAGTCATGAATCTGGGAGTGGCTCAGCTGCGTGGTTTTGGTTTTGGTGTAGGGTCTCTCCTGAGATTGCAGTCAGGACGTTGACTAGGGCTGCAAGTCATCTGAAGGCTGGACTGGGGCAGGCTCTGCCTCCAAGGTGGCACATGCACAAGGCTGTTGGCTGGCGGCCTCAGCTTCTGGCACAAAAGACCTGTTGAGTGTCTTCATAACACGGCAACCAGCTTTTCCCAGGGTGATCCGAGAGAGAGCAAGGCACAGTATCTTTTATGACCTCTCCTTGAACGTCACATAACATTGCACCTGCCGTATCCATGGATCACGGAGACCCACCCTGACACCATGTAAAAGGGGACCCCAACGAGGACTCGGACATCTGACCTGGGTGGTGGCTACACACTGATACTCACTTCCTCCAATTTCACCAAGCCGTGTATTTATGATTTGTATAATTTTCTGTTTATATTAATATGCGGTACTTCAATAAAAGAATTTAAAAACCAAAACATGAAATTATACCTCTGAAAGTTTGCTTGACTTTGTTTGGCTATTGTCTATTGATCTTTTTTCAGGTAGGGACGAGTTTGCATATATTAATGTCTTCTCCTCCCAACCACCTTGCCAACAGCTCAGGGAGGGTAAACAAGCGGACCAAAAGCACGTATTTTAAGTGATGGTGTCTGGACTTCCCTGAGGCTGATGCTTAAGGGAGTTTTGACACGGAAGGGGAGAGAGGGGTGGTGGGAGAGCCCAGCCCTCGGATCCAGGAAACAGAGCAAGAGGGGTTTGTCACCAAGAGGTGTCCTTGGTAACCCAAACCTAGAAACTGAGAAGGACTCACAGGGGGTCAAGGAGAGGCATACAGGGGCCTTATTAAAAGTCTTAATAGGCCGGGCGCGGTGGCTCACGCCTGTAATCCTAGCACTTTGGGAGGCCGAGGCGGGCGGATTGCTCAAGGTCAGGAGTTCGAAACCAGCCTGAGCGAGACCCCGTCTCTACCAAAAATAGAAAGAAATTAATTGACCAACTAAAAATATATATATACAAAAAATTAGCCGGGCATAGTGGCGCATGCCTGTAGTCCCAGCTACTCGGGAGGCTGAGGCAGTAGGATCGCTGAGCCCAGGAGATTGAGGTTGCTGTGAGCCAGGCTGACGCCACGGTACTCACTCTAGCCTGGGCAACAAAGTGAGACTCTGCCTCAAAAAACAACAACAACAACAACAACAACAAAAGTCTTAATAATATTTGATTTCCTAGGCTGAATGGTGGGTACACTTGTTTATTTTTCGTCCTTAAACTGTGTATATACATTCTATGCATACTTTGTGTATATGATTGCATTTTCTTTTAATTTTCAAGTTCTTTTCTAAAGCATCTGTCAATACGATGAAAAGGGAAATGAGGTGCAGGGTCAGAATTTCCTCCCTGTGCAGTCCGAGGGTCTGTGCCTCTGGCCAGGGCCCCAACGCGCGTGGGGGGCACGGGTTGTCTTGGTCAGGCCGACTCTGTCCACGGAGCCCTCTGGGGCCTGTGCACCCAAAGGACAGCAGCCAGCATGCTCAGGAGCAGGGGCGCCTTCAGGAAGACCAGGGGCAGGAAGTGGATGCTGCCAAGCCAGGACCTGTGAGAGGGACAGAGTGACCCGTACTGAGCCACCTCCTCAGGGCCCCCCCCCCGCCTGTCCCCCACCTTCCCTTGAGCTCTAGCCCTGCGCCCTCAAAACCCAGCTGGGCTCTGTCAAACCTGGCTGGCACCAGGGTTGGGCATGCAGAGGGTGGCAGACTCCTGGAGCGTGGGGACCCAGCAGACACAGGAGGGTGAGGAAGGAGGAGGGACGGTAGCATCCCAGGCGGGACTGGCTCCCACACAACGAGTTCTGCACCGGGCCTCCGCCATCCACACTCAAGGGGAACTCAGCTCTCGCTGGGGACAACTTTGAGGATGAGGGATTCCTTACAACCAGTCCTCACTCAAGCAAGTCTCGACTGGTCCTTAAATATGATCCTGAGAGCAGCTCTGTTGCTTAAACTGTTCAAGAACCTCAAACCCAAGGAGTGACCTCTCCGGGCTCAGCTCACGGGCAATCCCTCGCCCTGCGGGTCCCAGTGCACTGCCGCGGTCCCAGCTCCTCCAGGGCTCTGTCCCCTCCGCAGATGGGCCTTCGTGCAACCTCTCCTCCTCCCCAGCCTCCTCCCACAGGCTTGGCTGACACCTGTCCTGGTCCCCTGCAAGACTGGCCCCTGCAGCACACCCGGTGGGTGCCCTGCTCCTCCGCCCACCTGGGCTGCCCGTCTCTTTGCCCGAGGGCTGTGTAGGGCAGCGTGCGTGGCTTCCCGTGCAGAGCTGGCCGGAGGGGCCACAGAATTCATGCCCCCAGAGTGCCTTCTGTCTGGAAGACTCTCTCTCCAATTCTGAGGCGTGTTCTCCACCGTGTCCCGTAGGGCGCATGGCGGGTTTGGGCTCCGGTAGCCATAGCAACGACGCCTTCACTGTGCACATTTCGCTGTCTCTCCCTGTCCCTATCTCACACTCAGCTCCCTCACCGTACTCCCTGGGATCGCCTCTCGGTAAACTAATTGCTCCTCTGTCCTTGTCGCAGGACCCGATTTGGGGGAAAGCCAAACTAGGCAGCCCTTCGTTCTTTGTTTCCAGTGAGCGTCTTGTGTTTCCTGACGGTATTCATCACGCCCCACCATCCTCGCCCGCACCCCTCCACCCTGCTCCCCGACCGCTGCTTTCCTCCACCCAATCATCAAAGGGCGACGTGTCTCCTCTCTCTGTTGGTCTTTGTTACGTGTCTCTGCCTATCCCTACCATCTGTCCTCTCTGTCCGTCCACCTGTCCACCTGGCCGTCGTCTAAATCGACCTATCCGCGATGTCCCTGAGAGCATGACCCGTTTGCCCACTGTTGCCTCCCTTCAATCTGGATCCGTGTCTGGCCCGTAACAAACGCATGCTTGTGCAGTGAGCGAGTAACTGGGGAAAGCTGTGCCCGGGAAGCCCCGCCCTGGGACAGGAGCCATGCAGGAGGCGGCAGAAGCCCCTGGGACATGTGCCCTACCCCTGTCGTTGGCTGGGCCTGGTGCTCCTGGAAGATCCGGGGGTCCCTGTGGAGTTCTCGGTCCTGGAGGCTGTGGCGGAGGTTGAGGGTGAGCGACAGAGGCCCAGGGCCCCGTACCTGACTCTCCCCCGCT